TAAAAAATGCAATAAAATAATTTCAATGTAAGTTAATAATCAAGAAAAAGTCTTGGAAAAATAAGAGGCATTCACATTACACTTAGTAAAGAGAATATTATAGGGAAAGAAAACCCCAGTTTTGGGTAAGTCGTATCCAGCTGAGCAGCTGACCTAAGCGGAGGTGCCGGCCTGCACAAGTTTTGTGAGCCTGCCTCAGCTCTTCGATCCACTTAACCCTAATTGTATGAACACAGGACTGAGAGGAGAGATTTTGATGTGAGTTTGTGCTTTCTTATATGAAAAATGAAAATAATGTCAACCTTTAAGGAGTTATATAAATGTAAAATGACAACATGAATGAAATATTGTACATTATGTCTACCTATTAATGTTTTGAAGGGTGTCTGTTTCTATCTCCCTTCAATGCACACATGAACAGGCAAACCCAGGCTTAAGGTTCAATGCTCCGGTGGCAGTGGGGAGCCCATGATGATGTTTGACTGGCAGCAACTCCCTGGCTCTGCTCCTCAGCAATACGAAGGGTGCACCTCCTTCTTCCTAAGTGAGGTGGCTCAGAGTCTGACCGCGCCAGGGAGGTATGGCAATTTCCCAAGGCTTGAAAAACAACACACAGCCTCAGAGAACCAATCTCTTTACCCTCGGAGCACTGCTTTTGAGGTATTTTTTAAAGAAATGTTTCAAAAGATCTTTGTGATAATTAAAAACATTATTGAATGTGCTTTATGGAAATCGTCTAAATACATAAGGCAATTTATTTCCATTTCATCATCACCCTTAGGGCCCATAATTAGACGTGCATGGTTTAATTGCTATTGTATAGTATATGTTTTAATTGCTACCTTTGTGCTGCTTAACTAGGAAACATATCCCTAAAGTAGTTTTTTCTTAACTGTCTGTTATAATAAATTTAAAGAAAACTCAATGGAAAAGTATTTTCAAGACTTTTGCATTGCACTTTAGAATCACTAACCCTGCTATGAACCAGTTGCTTAAAACAATATTTTCTGTATTGACATGCAAATTAACTCATTAGACAAACACTTTGTTTTAGAAATTTACATAATTTGGTAGGAAAAGCCACATCAAAGTAATATTAATTACTTCTTTTAAAGCAAACAATTTCAAAGTTAAACTATTCTTCACATATTTCCCCACTTCTAGCATGAAAACATTGATACACAGGAATAGGAATATTGTATGTGCAAAGCTACGCAGGCTCTGTTCCTCAGAATTGAATAGCTTCTTGCCAGAATACATGTAGGGAGTACTAAACCTATTTTTTTTACAAGTATTTCTTTCAAGGGCAGTAATTTTCAAATCCTTTATTAGAACTCATGTTTCCTCAGAATTGATGTAGTGCTTTAAACTCTTCATTATGCACATATCCATTTTGTTTTCTTATTCACTGCAAATTTTCATTTTCAACGTCCTTTCCCTTAGCAACCCGTATGAGAGCTTCTGAATGGCATTTTCATGTCAAAAAACTGCTATGTGCTCAAGCATGCTATCCTACATAAAAAACAATAACTGCAAGACATACTTGCCCCTCATTTATATTATATTAGAACTTGCTATGAAAATTATCTTTGTATTAAATAACGGTCGTAAACTGGCATGTTGTAGACCATCTTCATATGTTTACTGTAGAGTAAAATATACCACATATGTTACACACAGAGGCGGAGTTTCCTCCTCACTCACCAAGCACTTATAACATTATTTAATTCACTCTTCTCTAGACAACCCATATTAAGGCTCAGTGGCACCCTGGTTTTTCAAACATTGTCGCATCCAGTGTAATAACATTAATTCTTGAATACTAAGGTGACTTAAAGCACACAGGGCCCAATTACTTGGTTGTGTGGTTAGCAATTTAATTGGAAAACCAAGATATACTGGCAAGGGACCCTGCCGCTCACCTTAGTAGACTCTTCCCCAAAGGGGACTGGAGGTGTTGAAGCAGAAGATGATTAAATCTGTTTGGTAAACAATAATTGGTTACCTCTGCAGCTTAAACAAGAACTATTTTTCCTACCTTCTTGTTTACATGAGTCTTTTGACCTTTATAATACATTATGTAACAAAAAAAGTAGAGATAGTATGAAAATTCGGGTATATAGGAAGAACTACAGGATATGTCATACAAGGTCTTTGAGTCTCCTTTACAAGTAATTCATAAACGTAAAAAGTGGTCATTATTGGAAGAAATTTCTAAATAAACTATTGCTTAGTAAAGTATATTTCTAGTTTATTATTATTTTCTGTATTTCTCTATTGCATAGATTAGTAAGTAGAAAAGAAAAAAGAAAGTAATATATAGTCTTGATAATGAAAAATGGAAATTGATTCATCTTTATCTTAAATGTAGGAACATGTACAAAACAAAAGAAATTTCATTTTGATTTACCTTTATCTTCATCATCTGCCTTAATAAATTGAGAAACAACAAAGAAAAACAACAATTTGAACTTGTCATGTGACATGTAATTACGTTTTTCTATAATTTTCTATACATATTTTGTCAAAACATCTTTGTGAAACCAAAAGAGCTACATTTGCATGGATAAGTTAATGTTTTATAAAACTATCCAGTGTTGGTGGTACTGAATATTTATTGTCCTTTTACATCAATAAGTTATAATTCCAAAATATGGTTATTTCTTCATGGAGGAATGAATGAATTATCACACTTGATGACTTTCATAAGTGTCTTCAAAACTGGGATTTTATTTCTTTATAATGGGAATTGTATCTGCATCCAATGGTATCCCAACATGATATGTTTAGGCTTGTTATGGGAACACAAGTTTACAATTACTTCAGAACTAAGACATTAAAACTAAATGTGTAGAAAAAAAGGCAAAATTATACTATTACTTATATATTTAGTCTCATCAAGACAATCTACAGCACTATTGGCAATAATGATATTTAGATTGTAGTGCTTAATTCTCTTACTGTGTAAATACTAAATTTCATCAGAGTTAATCCCAGAATCTACTAATATATGGCAACTAGTCATAGTTGAATAAGGATATCCATCTTGGAAAACTTTCAGCAAAGAGAAGTTAATGAAATACTTAAATACATTTAAATGAGTATAAAAATTGTGTATGTTACTGCCTTTCAAGCAAATTATAAAGATATATATATATATATATATATATATATATGCTTCAAAATAAGCAAAACTCAAAAGAAACCACAATTCTTGGTGAAATTATAATCTGAATATTTTGTTCAATATAATTAAAGTTTTTAAAAGGAAAGTTAAAAATTAATAGTAATTTAAAAAGTATTCTATATTCCCTTCTTTGAGATTTATTGGTATAAATTGCCTGGCTGTGTTTCCATATACCCTTTCTTTCGCTCTCTACATGCTGAACTTTTCAAATATGTGGGAGCACTCAAACATTACATTGCCGGACTGACATGAATTCTGTGAAAAACAGTTTAGTGTCACACACGGAAACAATTTAAGGGAAGCATATGATGGCTAGACTTTGCAGTAACACCCGCCTGTAGCAATCCCTGTCATGTAGGACTATGCTGTAAATAAAATGAAAAATCTTGACCCAAAGTAATTATTTCTAATTATAAACCCTAAAGCTAAATTTCATCCTTCTAACTCTAACCCTAACTAAAGTAGAAATTTGCATCCTTTAAACGTAAAAGTGTTTAGATTTAGTGTTCTCTCCAGCGGTTGGGAATCGTATCCCTCCGCAATTTAACGCCACTTGAAGTATGAACCCTCTTTGCATTTTACCCCCGCCTGTTAGTGGGCCACCCGGCTGAGCCCTAAGCTTTCCCCCGGACTGCGAGGACGCTCCCTCTGACTCTTCCAGCCATCGTCTGCACTTAATATGACGGGATGACAGAGAGGAAAGATCAGAATTTCATTTATCAGACTGTCATCCCTGTTAACCCACACAGAGTAATAAGTATTGTACAGGGAGCATCAGATAGCGCTCATCATGTGAGACTGCTCACCACGGGAAGTACTGTTCAGCGGTCTTCCACGCTGACAGCTCTTTCCATACACCATCAGAATGCACTGCCAATTGACAAAAGGGACATAGCCTCCGAAGAAAATCTCTCCTAAGTAGAGAAAAGCTCTCTCTCAAGCAGGCAAGCGTTAACCATTGCTGAAACAGCGAGACATTCCCTCAGCCCACGCCTTCCCGTTGCATCCAATTACCAACATCAGTAGCATCTATAATACAAGCTAATTCTGTACTGTATTATTAAATCAGAGCTTCCCGTCTACATCCAGCTCTAACCTGAGGGGTGGGGAGGGATGGCATTCACTAGTCAACAGCAGAACAAACAGCCAACTTGGAAACACACATAGCCTTGCGGTGTGGAATTCTCGCAGACCGAGTTCCCTAAGTTTGACTGGGATCTGCTGCATAACAACACATCCACACGAACCCGAGACGAGCAAAGGCGCCCATCTCTACTTCCTGCCTTCCGAGCGATGTGGAGGGAGAGCTCTGCACTTCGCAGACCGTGCTAGCTAAGAAAAGCGATATTTATTAACCAGGTACTATTCCATTCAGGTATTTTTCAATACATTTTTAAATAACTTGGTGTGTTTAATACCATTTGCTAACATATTTTGGAATTTGCAACGATTGGTCCCTGTCCCTTGAGCCTTACTGGGAGTGTTGCTCTAAAACGTTTATGTTACAAACAAGAAACAAAACAAAACAAACAAAAAAATAATAGCAAAACGTTCATATTGATGAAGCAAGCCGTAACACGATGAAGTTCACAGAAAACAAATCTGTCAACTTCCCCACTGGAATCACACACAGCCATCAACAGATGCTCTTGTAACAATAACCTAAAGAGCAATACTAAAATATTTTTGAAATCGTTGCCAAAGTCCTGTTTCAAATTATAAAATGTAGCATAACTTATCTTTACATTTTTAGACACTAGCTTGCATTCCTCCCCTCCCCTTGTAATTATTTATAACAACATTCTTTTCTTACCTTAAGTCCAAAGAAGTCCCCCAGAAAGACTCCTAAAGGAGGTGGATATGTGGATCACAGTTTAAAAAGAAAACCTCTAAATAGCCCGTTGTAGGTCGGAAAAATCGAAATAGTTGGACGCAAAACTGCAGAAATCTCCGGAGTCACGCCCGCCCGGAGCACACGGAGGGCCCGGCCGGCCCGCGGAGCAGCTGCGCGCAGGTGCAGGGCGTCGCCGCGGGTGCCCAGCGCTCGCCCC